CCCTCCTCTTCCATTCTGCACCAGGTCCAGGGTTCAAGCTGGACCAGAAGGCCACTCACCTTTATAACTCCCCTCTCACCCTCAAAAACAGTGAGCCTGATTTGGAACTCAAAGTTTTGAAAGTGAATGTTTAAAACTGCTTTTGCATGTAACTAGGGAACATTAAAAAAATAAATACACAAATCAATATTTAAAGAAGGTGAGCCTGCGCTTGAAGATTGCCAGTCAGGGGGCACCTGCGTGAGGCAGCCCACTCAACACTGGGACAGCTCTAAATGCTTGGAAGCTTCCCCTAACATAGAGTCCTGTCTGCTTCTAGGCATCTCCCACTCTTCCCACCAGACCGTGAGCACCTTGTCGGAGGCGACCCTTCAAGGATGCTTTCTGCTTGCCTGAGTCTTTTTTTTTTTTTTGGTAACCAACAATCCTCAATTTCAGTCAATTGTGTGACTATAAAAATGTGGCTATTGTAGAGGACTGTCTGAAATCCTGTCTGTTCTCTCCTATTTACCTTAAAGGATATGCTAAATGTGTGGACAGACCATTATTGAAGGTTTGATAGCAATAAGAAAGCAGGTAAATGGGTGGGTGACTTAATCCACACGCGGCCACATCCAGGCTCCCACCCTCTCCCTCACACGTCACATCCCAGATCAGAACCCAGACACGCTTGCTATCACATCCTGGACATCCTCTTACCACCCACTCTGCTCCCCCACCTTCTTTCTTCAAGTCTGGAACCCTCATCAATGAAGAGCCCCGCTGCTATTGGACAGGCCATGTCAATCAACTGTCCCTGGCTCTGCTTATCTTGCCTGTGATTTCCTTAACTAAAACGCTCCTCCCTGGCCACCTCTCCCTGGTGTGTTATCTCTCCCTGTCAGAATCTGAGCTCTCTGAGGGGAGATGCCTCATGTTTCCACTTGTATCCTCAGTGCTTGGCATAAAGCAGGACAGGTGCTTAACATAAGTGCTAAGTAAATCTAGCCTCAGACTCGAGTTGTGTGACATTGGGCAAGTCACTTAACCTCTGTTTCCCTCAGATTTCTCACCTGTAAAATGGGGACAATTCTATCACCTACCTCCCAGGGTTGTTGTGAGTATCGAGGGAGATAACAGAAGGGCAGCTAGGTGGCGCAGTGGATACAGCACCAGCCCTGGAGTCAGGACCTGAGTTCAAGTGTGGCCTCAGATACTTACTAGCTGTGTGACCCTGGGCAAGTCACTTAACTCTGATTGCCTCCCCCCAAAAATACCAAAAAAAGAAAAGAAAAGAAAGAATTAACAATTGTAAAGCACTTACCACAATGCCTGGCACATACTAAGTATGATACAAATGGTAGCTATTATTATTACTAACAAACAGTTTTTCATTCATTCCTCATATGTAAAGACACCTCATACATACTCCTATGTTCCTACTGTCATGTACACACATGCTCATTCACAAATATATACTCTCATACATATACGTATGTATATATATGTGTGTGTTTATGTATTTGTACATATGGATATACGTCATGTACTTCAATACATATATGTATATATTTGTATGTGTGCATATAGAAAGCACGTGTATATATCATAAAAATATATTCCCATACATATATACCTGTATGTGTATATAGAAATGCATATATGTATACATCACAAATACATATGCCCATACTTTACACGTGTGTGCATATATGTCTACATACATACATATGCACACACCACACTGTACATTCCCATGCCGTTGTATATGTGCACATATATGTACACGCATGTATATGCACACATATATGTATATATGTATGTGTGTACATCACAGATCTATACCCCATACATATGTGTGTACATATGTTTATTTGGGGGTACATGTATATATGTGTGTATGTATACAGATATATAAATATATCTATATACACATGTGCATATATCACAACTACACATTCCCATACTACCTATATTTGTGTATATGTCTGTATACATATACACACAGATACACACTTATACGTGCACATCATGAATCTATACCCCATACATATGTGCATATATATATTTATTTGCGTGTACGCACACGCACACACATACACACACACACACACACACACACACACACACACAATCTCTAAAAACCCTTGTTCCTGAGTAAGATCACTGGTCTTTCCAGGTCCTTTTTTCTTTTCTTTCTACACTTTCTTCTGTTATCCAAAGCACAGATGATTCCCAAATTGACTCCATTTTCCATACTCTCACTTCTGAATTCCCACAGCCATCCCCTGTGAGACATACCCAGACACCCCTGGCACCTCAAATCCAATTCCACGTCCCAAACTGAACTCATAATTGCCCATGGCCCTCCAACCCGAGCCCCTCCTCCACATGCTACGTTGCTGCTGCTGCGGGTGCCCCTGCCCCTCCGTCCTTCAGGCTCTCAGCCCCAGGGAGGCTGGCCGGCCCAGCCTCTTCCCTCTTCCTCGCCCGCCAGTGCTCCATCTGTTGCCAAGCCCCTCCGTTCTACCCTCGTGGTACCGATTCCTTCCACTGCATTCCCAGGGCTGGTTCATGGCTCATGCCTTCATCACTGCTCACCTGGACTGATGCAGCAGCCTCTTCACTGGCCTGACTCCAAACCGGTCTCCCCACAGCTGCCACCCTGATCTTCCTAAGGTACGGGCTGACCATGCCCCTCACCCCCTTGCTCAAAAAACCTCCACTGGCTCCCCACTGCTGCCAGGGTAAAAGGCACACTTTTGAGCCTGACACTGAAGGACAACCCCCACTGCTTCTTCTCACCCCAGATGCCTGCTATGGTCTCTTGTGCTCATGGATCTGTCTGCAAGGCTAACTCTCATGCCTGTACATCTTCCCTTCCTCATCTCTCCTTCAGATTCCTCTCTTCAAGGCTCGCTGTCCACGCCGCCTTCTCCAAGTAGGCTTCCATGCTCTCTGCCTCCTGGCTCCAAGGGATTTTGTTTTTCCTCCTCTGATATTTCTAAACTTTGTCTCATCTTGCACACTCCTTTATTTCTGCTGATGGCACCACCATCTTTTCCTCCAGTGACTCTGGGTTGTAGCCTTGGCATTACCCTTAACTCCTCGCTTGCCCTGCATATCCATCAGTCACCAAATCTTGTCATTTCTTCTTCTACTTCTCTCCCACCTACCCCCTTGTCTCTACTCAAACAGCCTCTACCTTAATTCAGGCCCTCATCACCTTCCCCCTCCTGCCCAGATTACTGCAATGGCCTCCCAGCTGGTCTCTACCTCAAGCCTCTTCCCTACTCCAATCCATTCTCCACCCAGTGGATCAAAGGAGTTATTTGGCAAGTACTTAGCACATAGTAGGTGCTTAATAAATGCTTTCTGATGGACTGATCTCTCTTTAGGCTTTATCATTCCCTATCTTGTATTGTCTTTTTCCTCCATTAGAATTTAAGCACCTGGGGCATCTAGATGGCACAGTGGATAAAGCACCAGCCCTGAAGTCAGGAGGACTTGAGTTCAAATCCAGTCTCAGACCAGACGTTTGACACTTACTAGCTGTGTGACCCTGGCCAAGTCACTTAACCACAATTGCCTTGCCAAAAAAACAAACAAAAACCAACAATACAACAACAACAAAAAGAATTTAAGCACCTCCAGGGTAGTGGTTGTTTTATTTTTACATCCCCAGTGCTTAGCATAGAGCTTGGCACCCAGTAGGTGTCTAATAAATGTTTATTGTTAAGTATATACACACACTTATATCCCTATGTAAATCCTCATACATACCTACTCACAAACATATTACCTCCATTTCTATGCCCCTATTATACACAATAAACATATATATATACTTCAATATATGTGTAGATATATATATGTACACATACATATACACACACAAACATACGTTTCCTCATACATGTATATATTCACATACGCCTCCCATAATCTTGCAATACCCTCATAGCTGTTTGGGCACAGCTTCAACATACGCACATGCTTCCAAAGACACGCTCGCATAGCTATCCTATACATTCTGCATGGACATTATATACCTGCATCATCAAAAATATGTTCTTGCTCACGTGTGCCCCTCATACATGCACATCCACATACATCCACATGGCCAGACATGTAGCCCAATGCACCTACCTACCCCTACTGACACACAGCTGGGCTCAGAGACCTTCTCAATACACATTTTAAGCATTTAGTACATGCACCCAGTAGCCATATATACATGTTAAGTGAGCACGTACACACACACACACACACACACACACAGACTGAGACATCTTTACCTAGTATATCAAACTCACATTGATTAGGACTTCTGAGAACATCTAAACTATGGGGTGGGTGAGGGAAGGGGGGGAGGAACGACACTGTCAGCAGAGAGACTTCCTTCTATCAGACTGAGAGGCTCCAGAGAAGGTGGGAGGGAGGAAGAAGGAGAAGAGAGAGAGAAAAGAGCAGAGGAAAGAGCAAGGGGTAGAGAGAAGGAGCTAGAGGGGGCAAGACGGGGAAAGAGGAAGAGGAAAGGGGCCAAAGGAGAGAAGGAGGAAAAGAGAGGAATGAGAGAAAGGGGGAGAGAAAAAAAAGAAGAGGAGAGGAAGAGAGAGTGACAGAGAGAAAGAAGGAAAGAAAGAGAGAGAAAGAGAGTGAGAGTAAGAGAGAGAGAGAGAGAGAGAGAGAGAGAGAGAGAGAGAGAGAGAGAGAGAGAGAGAGAGAGAGAGGCCTCCTGACATCCCTGGGGCCTGGAGCTTCTGGCATAGGGTCTCCTCCCCCAGCCCCTGTGCTTCCCCCTGTAAAACCAGGAGCGCTGCTCTGGGCAGGGCCAGGTAGGCCGGGGGTGGGGGTGGGGGTGGAGGGGAGGTGGGGATGAGATGCAGGGCCTGCAGGATACAGAGGGCGCGTGGGGACGAACAGAAAGGGAAGAAGCCAACAGAACTGGGGAGGAGAAACCAAAGAAAAGCAACAGAAAAAAATGACCCCCACGGGAACAGAAAGACACAGGAACTAACTTTCAAAGTGAAACTCGGGGTCACTGAGGGGGCTGCTGAGGCCAGAATCTGCAGAAAACAGTAAACAATAAATGAACAAAAATGCAGGAACGTTTCTGTTCCGCCCTCCCTCTCTCCCTGTGTGTCTCTGTCTCTGTCTCCGCCCATCCCGCTTCAATGTCATGCTAATCAAACAAAAGGAAAAAAGCAACAGAAATTTAAGAGGTAAGGTAAAGTCAGTCTTTGTGCTGATGGCAGAGGCTCTGTTCACCCAGTGCCCCCCCTTCCCCACCTCTGTCCACTGGAGGGAATACACTGAGAGACCCACCCGGCTATCTACGTTATGGCTGAACACTGACTTCAAGGGCGAGAACCTTCACTGGCTCCCACCGGCCCCAGGAAGAGTACAAACGTCTCTGCCCAGCGTTCAAAGCCTCCAGTCTTGCCCTGTCTCATTCCTCTAGCACCTTCGTTGCTTGTACCAGCCCCACCCTGGACACGCCATGCTTGCTTCTGCCTTTGGCCTGTGTGTTCAGGCTGCCTTTCCAAATTCTAGCACTGAGCCCACAGGGATTTCTCCCAATGCTACATTCCCCCGCAACCTGTTGGTACCCCTGAGCACACGCCCCAGCCTTGGCTCTCTCCTGCTCCAGGTGTGTGTATGCGTGTGTGAAGCAGTTCCTTTCAATCAGACTCAAGGACAGGGACCAAACACTCTCCTTTCTCTCTCTCTCTCTCTCTCTCTCTCTCTGTCTCTCTCTCTCTCTCTCTCTCTCTCTCTCTCTTCTCTCTCTCTCTCTCTCTCTCTCTCTCTCTCTCTCCCTGCATAGCACAAGGCCAGGGATATATTTGTAAAACTGATGAACAGCCAGCGAATGAGTGAATCAGTTTCCAGTCCACTCCCTGACCCTGATGGCCCTCTCTTAGCCCAAGCAAAAGCTTGGATTCCAAGTGTCACTCGCTACCAGGGAATTGTTGACTAAGCCAGGATTTCTGAAGGGAAATACAAACTACCCTCAATTCAAATACACTGTGAAAGTTCCCACGTTTTCACTGACTTCTGGGCCCTGAAGACGTGGGCTGGGCTCTGGTCTCCTTAAACATAAGGCGCTAGCTCGGGGCCCTGATGGGTCATTTTGCTAAGTGTCCTTACCTGCTGGTGGACATTAGCCCTGCACGACCTTTAGCCATGACATGGCCACCGCCCCAAAGGCGTCTGTTAAGTTCTGTCCCAGAGGTGGGTCAGGTGATCCTGCTTCCAGTGTTTTGGTGAATATGACACTAAGCAGTTGGTTGGATTATTCTCTGGCTGAACTGACAGGACAGTCCACTGGTCTGGGGCCCCTGCCTGTCTCAGGTGGGCAGGCTCCTCCTTGTTCCAACTTTTTTTTTTTTTTTTTTGGTGGAAGGGGGATGGGAGTCTCCTCCCACGCACCACAGCCTCAGGGAGAACAGAACGAGGGCTAGAAAGGAAACCCAAATGATTGCTGCTCTCAGCCTATCAAAGGAGCATCCCTAATCGGGCATGCCTGCCCCTGATGACTTCAGGACAGAAATGGGAGACAGGACGGGACGGACCGAGTATGGGACACCACTGAACAAGAACAGCCAGAAACAAGCCTGCCCCCCTGCCTCCCAACACTGCTCCCCGTAACCGAGCATCACAAAGGACCTTTCTAAATTCTCCCAGACCGTCATTCCTGGGGCAGCTGAAGTGGGGTGGGATGGGGTGTGGCACGTGCCCTGTAGGAGCCCGGGAGGAGAGATGCCACACCCTGAGTGCGTGCTGGGGAGCTCGGGCACGTGTGTACATGTGTAAGTGAGTACAGCAGTCACACCTGGGTGACAGCGTGACATCAGTCCCTGGGAGATGCCCCTGCGTTTACTCTTCTGTTCACAACCTGATGGCTTTCCTAGCAGCTGCAGCTCATTAGGGACTCTTGGCACATTAAAAATCACAATGAAATTCTTCCCCAAAGAAGCCAAACCCTAAGAGTGGAGGAAGAGAAGGAACTATAATTCACTGCTTGTCAAAGATCTTTAGGTGTGCCTGGAACCCTCTAATAAGGCCAAAAGCAATCAGTTATGTGTGTTCATTAAAAAAAAAAAGACAAAAACCAACTCAACAGGTCAGAAACTGTCATGATTCTCTAGACAGAGATTCACCTGTACACAAGGGAAGGCCCTGGTTAGGGGGCACTCAGCAAGGAGTCAATGAATTAACTTGGTTAAACAGGTGACCGGGAGGGTAATATGGGGATTGCTCACAGCTGGTGGCCCCCCCACCTCCCCAAGGCACCTCTCTCTGGACCCTTCAAAGCTCAGGCAGATGTTGCCCACATGCCTGCGCCTAAGGAGATCCCAGGTGTCAGGGGCCTGCCGGGCAGAAGGGGAGGACAGTGGGAAGGGCCCTGAGATACCTGGTGTCTGGAAATTTATGCGTCTCATTTCCACCGGGTCCTTTGGGTGGTGGGGGGTGAGGTCCGCGTTGTTCAGCAGGCATTTGGTGCGTGGCTCCGAGTCCTTACGTTTGCTTTGGGGACAGGGAAACAAGACCTCGTGAGTGTGCACCTAGGCTAGACTCACGGGTCTGTCTGAATGACAGTCAGTGTGAGCATGCCCACATGCCTATGGCGCCTGTGCACTGGTGAACGATGGCCCAGGTGAGTATTTGGTTTGGCTGTGATGGGAGCACAGGAGACTCATCATTCCTCCCCTTTGTCTTCAGAAGACAGGGGTGGTGGTAGGGAGTCGGGGTGGGGACTGTCTACGTCTGACATAAGATTTGGACAACAAGGCTTGGTCATACAATCAACTGGTGCTTGTGAGTGAATTTTCCAAATCCCCTTTTCGCCCAGCATCTCATCTAAGCCCTCCAAGTCCCGGGATGTTGGTGTCATTATCACTGATGTATGGATGGGGAAACTGAGGCCTGGGAGGGTAGGAGGATCATGGAATCACAGAATTACAAATGGAAGGGATACTATAGGTCAGTTAATTCCATCGTCTCATTTTATGGATGAGAGAAGGCCTTGCCTCAAGTTACACAGGGAGTCAGGGGCAGAGTGGGAGCAGAACCTGGGACTCCTGACTCCAGTTCAGGGTTCTTTTGCCGACCTTGAGCTGGTTTTAGACTATTCTGAAGGGGGGATGACCTGGGCTGGCAGGAAGGGGATGGCCTGCTTGGCTCTCACTGCTCCACTGAGGCCAGGGGGCACCAGCCATTCTTGGGGGCTCACCCGGAAGAGGCCCTGTGGAGTCTGGGGTGGCAGAGACTGTATTCATACCCCCTCCCAACTATTCCCCAAGACAGTGCTCCTCTTGCTGGGGTCTACAAGGCTGTCAGAGACGGGGTCTCAGGGTGGGCGAGCGAGGTCTGGCTCTTACCTATCAGGTTTGCTTTTCCAAGAAGCAGCAAAAGGGAGGGGAAAAGAGACACCGTTAGGAAGAGAGGGGAGGGTCAGGCTGGATGTCAGATGACCAAGAGGCAGGGGCAGGAAGATGATCAGGGGTCACAATGGCTCTCTGCTTGTTACCCCCCATCCTCTCCAATATTCCTTTCCCAAATGGGCCCCTCATGGGTTCTTGTGAGAATCCTGCTCTCTCCTCAGAGCTCACAATCAAAATCCTCCCAGTCCTTATCCATCAAGGCCCAGCTCAATCCCCATTTCCTCCAGGATTTACTGACCAGCTTTGCTGCTCCCCCAGCTCCCAGAATACCTCTCATAGTGACCCTACCATCTGGGGTCTAGCCCTTACTTCCATCCCATCCTCCACAGACCTCTTCTTGTTTCCTGGCTACGAGCCCTATTTCCCAAACCAGACTGGGAGATTCCGAAGGCCTGAGCCTGCCTTTTTCTCTATCTCATGGAATCAGCAAAACTCTGTGCTTCCAGGCCCTCAGGGGGCATGAAGCCCACTCCACACAGGAATGGGATTCTCAGCTCTAACACGTCCACTAAATGGGTCACCAGACTCTGTGTGATGAGGAATTCATCACGTCTAGAAGCTGCCCACTCCCACTCTGGACAGCCGATTGCTGAGGATTTCTTCCTTCCACGGAGCTAAATGTACCTTGTGCTAACTTCCATCCACACTCCACTGCCCTGGTGGCCAAGGAGAAAAATTCTTGTCCCTCCTCCATAGGACAGGGCTTCAAATACTTAAAAGACAATACTCATGTTGCCCTTCGGGGCCCAGCCCTGCCCCTGCCTCCACTGATAACTGCCCACTCTGCCCTAACCTCCAGCTCACAGAGACCTCTCCCTCCTGTAAGCCCCACTGCCCCTGACCGAGGTGCTGCCCAACCGAGTGAAGGCCACCCTGTCCTCCACCAGCCTCTCCAAACAGAGGGCTCCTGAAGGTGAGACCTTTGTCTCTCAGACTAGGAGCCCCTTCAGGTGAGGGTCTGGGTCTGCTCCCATCTGGACACTCTCCAAGGGTAGGGCCTGGGTTTGTCTCCTCCCTGTCTTCCCCACAAGTCAGGGCTGGGCCTGTACTGAGATCCAGCTTTTAGAACTGGAAGTGATTCTGGATTGTCTAGGTGGACCCACTCAATTTGCAGATGGGAAAGCTGTGGCCTAGTTTTCCTGGGAAAGAGTGGGTGACCCGCTCCTGGTCACACAGCAAGCCTGAGGTTAAGCCTTCTTTGCCCACCTCTGTGGCCCTGGCACTCCTGGGGAAAACACCTGGGTGGGGGAGGAGGGGCTTACTTCTTATAAAGCAGGATGGCGATGACAATGCAGATGATGAAAACCACGGCCAGAACGGGCCCGATGACCCAGATGAGGCCCTCTTCCCCATCGATGATGGGCTGCGGGTCAGGATTGTCCAGCTGGATGGGACTGGAGAAAGGGCTGGCCGCGAAGGTCTGCAGGGACAACAAAGCAGTTTTCATCACGGTCAGTCTCCCTGCTGCAGCCTTCCCTTGGAATCCTAGGCCCCTCTTATTCCGCTCCCTCCCTCTCTTCTTCATCACCCTCCCCCCCAAACCCCCCAGGGCTTCATGGTGAGCATGAATCCTGGCCTAGGATCCAAGAGATCTGAGCTGGGGTCATCAAAACGATAGGATCGGGACCCCTTGGATAAGTCACCTCCCTTCGAGCCTCAGTCTGCTCATCTGTGAAATAGAGACAGTTGTACTCGCTGACCTCAGAAGGGGTGATAAAGATAATGATAGCTGCCATTTTGAGAGTGCTTTTAAATTTACAAAGTTTCTTTGCAATAACACTAGGGAGGTAGAGAATACAGGCATTCTTACACCATTTTACAGATGGGGAACCTGAGGTTTCAAGAAGTTAACCTGGCCCGGAGTCACACAGCTGCCAGAGCTGGCATTTGAACCCTGGTCTCCAGAATTCAAGCTCAGCACCCTCATGGCTACGCCTCTGCTGCTTTTCTAGGCTCTCTCAAGCTAGCTCAATGGCGAGGCACTTGGAAAAGGCTGATACAAACAGAAGGTGGTGGTGTTCTTTTCCCCTCTCTATTTCTAGGGTAGTATAAGAAGGGGATGGGGAAAGAGGGCCGCCAGAAAGGGAGTAGCGTGTACGGGGCATTTCCTTGCTTGTCGTCAGAGCCTCAGAGTTTTCCTGGGGAAAAAACCAGTGTTGAAGAATTCTCTCTATTGGTAAGACAGGGAGACTGAGGGTTATGTGGTATGTACAGGGTCACAAGGCAAGTGCTTGGGGGACTCAGCTATGCCTGCCTCTTCCCCCACTGACACCTTTGCTGAGCTATAGAGCAGGCCTCAAGACCTGCCTGGGGAAAGGGAGAAGCATTAGAATAATCAATAAGAGTAACTAACATTTATAGAGTGTTTACTATGTGCCAGGCAGTGGGCTCATTAAGTGCTTTACAATTATCATCCCCTTTGGTTCTCACAACAACCCTGGGAGGGGGGTGCTATTATTATCTCCATTTTACAGATGAGGAAACTGAGAAGGCAGAGGTTGGGTGGAGGTCTGGCAGAGCGGCCACAGTTCTCTGACCATGACCAGCCTGGAAAGGGGAAAGCAGGGAGAAGGGGAGCTCGGGGTGGCCGGGGAGGAGAGCAGGGGCTCACGGGCTCTGTCTTCTGCAGCACTGCCAGGACGAAGAAGACGTATCTCTGGCCGGCCTCGAGGGCTTTGTTGTCAAAGCCGCTGTAGTGTCTCTGGTCACCCAGCTCGAAGCGTGAGGGCAGAGAGTAGAAGCGGGCGGCGATGTAGGGCTTGGGGGAGTCCAGCTGGCGGGAGTGGCGTAGGCTCCGCCGGTGCAACCTTGAGATGTCCTGAATCAGCTAGGGAAGAATGCGGATGGATGCTGACACCCAGGGCCTCTGCTGCCTCCTCCAAGAAGCCCTCCCTGATCAGCCCGGCCTCCACCTCCTGCTCTCTGCGGCCCGGGCCACAACCCCTGCTCCAAGGACTCTCTCTCACCTCTTCTAGGTCCATATCCTCTGGGCTTGCTGGGGGATTCTGGAATCCTCCCCGGATCTTCCGCAAAGGCACCACCACAATGAAGTAGCTCCTGTGTGGGGACAGAAGTGAGTGAGGGACCCCACAGGGGGAGCCTGAGAGGGAAGCTGGGTCTCTGCTCTGGCCTTGCCTGACTCCTGGTGTTAGGGGGAGAGGAGATGCAGAGCAGACTCCAGAAGTAGCCTCCTGTAGCTGGGAAGGCCTAGAAACCCCCGAAGCTCTTCCCCTTGGAGACTTTCTTGGTGATGAGGACATGCTATGTGCATGCCAACCCTGGCTCCCCGCGCCCTCTGCCTGCCTTGCAGGGATGGGGAGGGAGGAGGGAGGGAGGCGACATACTGGACAGGCACGGGGCTCTGGCCATCGGGGAGCTGCACCAGCACGCGGCCGTCGGGCTCAGGCTTGTGGGCGATGGCAGGCTTGGAGCTCAGCATGTTGAAGGCCGTCCAGGCGGCCACTGTCTGCTGCAGGCCGCCCATGCTGTTCCCACGGTTGGTCAGCACAAAATTGTAGAAGGTGCTTGGCTTGAGGTTGGTGATGAGTTTCTTGGTGGTGCGGCCATCAACGTCAATGTTGAGCCCATTGTACTGGATCTGGGGGATGGGGAAGGAGGAGGCTGGAGGTCAGAACCACCTTCCATGCTCCCCTCTGCTTACAGGCCAAAGGCCAGACCTCTTAGCCCTACACGGAGCGGCCTCCTCAATCGAGCCCCAGACCCTCATGCTCACTGCCTCCTCTGTGAGCCCTGGCTGAGTGCTTCCTCTCCCCACCTTCGGGGCCCCGAGACCCAGGGGCTTTCTGCTGCTGGCCCATGCCTGCTCTGCACGGCGAGACAGCGCCCTGACACTGAACGTCAGTGAACTACTTTCACTACTGATGGACAGGTGGGACATTGGCTCTGATGTTGTCCACCCTGGGGGGCAGACTGCTCTAGCAGCTGCTCTGTGTGTGTGTGTGTGTGTGTGTGTGTGTGTGTGTGTGTGTGGTGTGTCTGAATGTGTGTTTGTATATGTGCATGCATGCCTGTATGTGTGTGTATGTATATGTACACACACATCTGCATGTCTAGGTATATGTGTGGCAGGTGTGAGATGTATTGTGCATGTGTATATATGTGTGGCAGATGCCTGCGTCTGTATGTGTATGGTGTGTATATGAGCATGAATGTCTATGTCTATCTGTGCACGTACATTTGTGTATGTGTGTTGTGCCTGAGTGTGGCAGTGCATGCGTGCATGCAGGCATCTGTGTGTGTTCAATTTCACACATGTGTACACTCAGAGAAGGGCGGGTCAGGGACTCACCTTGTAGGGGGTATGGGAGTTATAATTCTCAGGAAATTCCCAGCTCAGCAAGACCGAGGTCTTCATCACCATCTTCACCTTAAAGTTCTTGGGTGAGACTACATCGTCGACAGAGGAGCCAGTGCAGGCGGGTGGGCGGGAGGGCACGGAAAGATAGAGAGAGACACGAGAAAGCAGTGAGGGCCAGGGAGGAGGGGTGGTCAGGGTGGCAGGGCCCGTGGCCTTGGGGAGAGAAGGAAGCTCAGTCGTCCCCTGTCGCCTGCTCGTCTCGTGGCACAGCTCTCACACTTCTAGCCATCCTGCTCCCTGCCTACCCGAGGTGGGCCCTTTCTACCTAGTTCTGAAGAATTGAGACCCCAGGGCCGAACGGCGTTGATGGGGGGAGAAGAGGAGGAGGGCAAAGAGACAGAGGAAGAGGAGGAGCAGAGTAAGGGGGCAGACAGAGGGCACTGGGTTGGCGAGGCGCTGCCCCCCACAGCACAGAGTGTGTAGAGAAAGGCGCTTCCCACCTGTCGTGAGGCCTCGCCCCGTCTGGGTGCCGGCCGGGTGTGTCTGAACTCAGCAACAAGAGCATCATCGAGAAGGAAGAAAAAAACGCCAAAAAACCAGCAGACTTACCTGATTGAGGTGGGCTGGGGGTGGGGAGGGATGGGGAAGAAGGAGAGGAGGAGGAGGAGGAAGAAGGTCTTCGGCTGATGTCGAGGCCTGGGGAGGGGGCAGGGGGTGAGTAGCTCACTGCTTCCAACACCAGCCCCAGCCAGAGAGGAGGGCAGGAGAAGTGCTAAGTCCTACCTTGGTCCAGAAGGAATGTCCGATAGCGGACAGTGGGGCTGTAGGGCCCGGGGCCCTGCCTCGTGTGGGCACGGATTTTAACATCATAGGCTGTGTTGGGCTTGAGGCCTTGCAGGGTGAACGAGTTATCCGGTGATGCGGGAAGCTCTGTCTCCACGGGTGGCCCCACCGAGCCGGCCTCTCGAAAGGCCACGGTGTACTTGACGATGGCCCCGTTCCTCTCGGCTGGCACGGGGGGCAGCCAGCGGAACTGCACCGAGGCTGCCGACACGTTGCCAGCCTCCAGGATGTGCGGGTAGCCCTGCGGCACGTCCTCAGGGATGCTGAGCTCCTGGGCCGCCTCCTCCCCGAAGCCCGCCCGGCTCTTGGCAGCCAGTTTGAACACGTACGTGGCCCCTTTGTGGATGCTAGTGGCTGTGTATTGGTCCTCTGAGGCTGGGAACTCCAGGGTGGCTAAAGGGGACACATCCTTCCGGCCAAACTGCAGCCGGTAGCCTAGGACCTGGCCCTCGGACCCCGGGGCTGGCTCCCAGTGCACCTGCAAACTGTTGTCCAGGGTCTGGTGTATAGATAGACTGGGTTTGCCCAGGACTGAAAGACAGGACAAAGAAAGGAAAAAAGGAAAGTATGAAACAATGACGTCAACTCCTATTTCTTTGGCTCTTTAGGGATTACAAAGTACTTTCATCACATCTGAATGGTGAGGTTGGTAGTGTAAGTCTCACTTGCCTCCATTTTCTAGATAGGGAAACTGAGGCTCACAGGGTAACCTTCCTAAGGTACTGATCTGAGGAAGATAGTACAGAACAGGGGAAAACACACTGGATTTACAGTTGTAGGACCTGTGGATGGATGAAGAGATTGGGGCTGGAGAGGCAGAGCAGGGCTGACCCTAGTGATCCTGGGAGCCGGCGGCAGAGGCCTGACTGCCGGGGATCCCCTCCAGTAAAAATGTCCTGGAGATTCTCCCCAGTCGGGCTGTAGGGGGACTCCTCCTTGGGAAGTACAATGCTATTATGGAGAAAACCATTATTACTACCTCTGCGGTTTGGGGAGTGGAGGGGCAGAGAAGAGAGATTGTCCTAAACGTTCCCATAATCAGCTGGGCTGGGAAGGATTACATTTGTACAATAAACGTCATTTGAGGGTGGGAGGGAAGTGTTTTATTTCTCAATTGCTTTGGACATGAAAGAAGAAAATGGGATCTATTATAAAATTTAAATGACTGGAGCTGCTAGCCCTGACTTCTTCCTTGTGGAGGGCACGCAGCACCAGCCTGGCAGAGATAAGGCCAGTACGTGGCCAGTGGCAAGCCTGGTTCTAAAACAGCTGTTTTAGGCCGAGCGAAACTGATTTGGGGGAAACACTGGGGGATTTTGGAGGGAAACATCCTGACCTAACTGACTCCTGGTTTTCACCCACTTAATGGGAGAGATAAGGTGGAAATGTGCAAGGACAGGGTGGTGGAAAGAATGCTGGATTTAGAGGCATAAGGCCTGGGTTCCAGTCCTGACTTTACCACTGACCATCCCTGTGCACCTCATTTGTAACATAAGGCTGGACTCGACGATCTCTAATGCCTGACCGTCTATGGGCTAACATTCCCCTGGCGGCGTGTGCACACACTCGATGCCCGCAGTTCTCTCTTGGCTTTGCTTCCTTCTAAAGATCATCCCATTTCACAAGTGGAGATGCTGAGCTAACACTCACCCTGGAGGAAACCAGGAGAAAGGAGAGGGGACTGGCCAGGCCACAGAGAACATCCCCAGCCCCGTTCTCCTTTCCCCAGGGGAGGCCAACTCCTCCTCTTCCCGTGGGCATCTCAAAGCCTGGGTGACTTGTCTAGGCTCACACAGCACACGAGGAGCAGGTGGGAGTGCTGACGTGCCCCTGGTCCAGACTTTTCTCTTCCCACTCTCCCTGCCTCTAGTCTCTCCCTGTCTAATCCCTCTTGCATAGGATGTCTGATTAAGTACTGCTCCCAGCAAAACTGTGGATCAGAAACCTTCATCCCCTCACCTGCTAAAGTATCCTTCATGGCTCTTAGAGGACATGACACTTGGGGGCCTCCTAAACTCTATCCTGCAGCTTCAGTTGCTTATGCTCCCCTCCCTACACGTGCCCTCTGGGGCAGCTCGGCCGAGGTCTTCCCTTCACCCTTCTTGGAAGGACCGCTTCTCCTCCCTCTGACTCTCCAGGAAGCCTGCCCTCCTCTTCCTCCTCACTGAGTTCTTCAGCCCCAAGTCCCTGGCTGGCTCCTTTAGTCTGCTTAGGTGGGCCCAGTGCACCCCTCCTTCTGCTTTCTCAGGGTTCTAATGCTTCCTCACAGCACCCTGGCTGTTGGGATGGAGCCCGCAGACACTCCTGGCTGTTTGCTCTGGACTAAATCTGCAATTTTTCTGGTACAAGTAACTTGTGGTGAGGGAGCTCCCTTTACCGATGCTGGCTAGCTGGCCACACCAATCTTAGGAGGGCTGCTAGGGTCACTGAGAGATTAAATGGCCTAGCCGGATCACCCGGGTAGTAAGTGTCCGAGATAGAACCTAAACTCCAAGGCCAGCTGTCTCGTCACTACATTATGCTGTCTCTACTTTTCCATTTTGCAGATGAAAATACTGAGCCTCAAATATGTGAAGGGGCTCGTTTGCCCCTACTCCCACAGGTAATAAGTAGCAAACCCAGATTCAGCCTCAGGTCTTTGCCTCCACGGCTAGGGTTCTCCCCACTATACCACACTGCCTTTCTGGGGGTCCCCTGGGGCATGCCTCTTACCTGTTCCCTTGGTCACCACCAGCTTGGGTTTGCTGCGTGCACCGTCACCTTTCATAGTGTATGCTGCCACGGTGACAGAGTACGAGGTTTCAGGCTGTAGCTTGTCGATGACCATCTCCTGTTGAAGGAAGAATCCAAGAGGAGAAGGAGGGGTCAGCAGCTGTGGCTCGGGAGGGGTACCCAGAATATCCCCAGGACCTCCATCCAGCCCCCAACCCAGGCCGGGGGGCCCACGGTGGGAGAGATGACTAGGGCAGAGAAAGGTGGGGGCACATTGTTGGAATAACACGTGCAGAATCTGTTTCAAATCTTTCTCTAACACACTCCCCTCTCCCAGACTCTCTCATACATAACACATTGTTCAAATCTCCTTTACAGCTCCAACATACTCTCCAAATCTGTTTTACATGGACATGCCCTTCAAACTTTCCCTTCTTATACAATCTGTACTCCCTAAGTAAACCAATCAATTGATAACAAGCAACGATTTAGTGCCTACTCTGTTCTGTGTACTGTGCTGGGTACCAAGCCAAACATTGAAACAATCCTTTCTCGCACACATCCTTCATATAAACTACCTCCAAATTCCTCTTAAACACTCCCTGCAAATCTGTCTCACACGTAACCTTCTAATCTTTCTCATAAACTTACCCACTAAACCTCTCTTACACTTCATCTCTCTTCCAAATCATTCCTAAATATCACTGAAATTTGGGAGGATCACCAGACCTGAAACATGGCTAGGGAAAAGTAGCTCCCTTATTTAAAAGGAATAAGAAAGGGAAAGGGGAAGGGGACCCATAGCACTGGGTGGAGGATCTAATCTTGTGAGGAAATCCAGGAAACAGAGCGAGGAATCATGGCGGCGATCACTTAGGCAGAGCTAAATGGGTGGCAGAAAGATACTCCACAGTGACACTGGAATATGCTACACAACTCTTGGAGAAAAAGACACAAGAGATGAGAACAGATCCCCAACCCATCACAAAGGCACTGCAGAGCAGGAGGCAGGGCCTTGAGCTATACAGACATCTGCTGGAGTTCTCTGCAATTTCTTTGCTTGCGTTAATAATGATAATTTTATTCTTCAGAATGTGGCAGTCCCAATAAGGGAAATTGCTATAATGGTTTCTAAGAAGATGGAACTGGTGTCCAGGGTGGAAATGACAGGCATCTTATGGGCACCCCAGTTTGAGAATTGTGCTAGAGAAGGTGAGGAAGACCAGGCCCCCAGACATATGAATCCCAGATTCTGAGAGAGTGGGTTTCTAAAAGCTCAGAGGGAGGGCAGGTGGCATCCTATGGACTAAAATTGTATAAGGCAAGTGGGTCTGAGGAGATGGAAAGTTCTCGGAAGTAAGAAAAGGGAAACAATGAGGAGGGAGGGAGAAAGGGAGAGCAGTGTTTATTTTTAATATGTTGCTTATTTTTTAAGGGGGTAATTTTCTTATGTAGAAATAATTGTTTAAGTAGGGCTTTAAAAGAATCCAATTTTGAGGATGTTTAAATTTTAATACACAAATGCAGTATTCTTTCCTTAGGTACAAAGTTTGTTGATTCAGACAACTGATGTACAACCCTTTGTCTTTGTCACTGGGTCTTCCCTCCCTCTTTTTGTGTTTTTTGGCTCGATAATACTTATATTTTGTTAGTGCTTATTTTTTATGCAGAAATATAGATTTCTGCTCTTTCTGCAATGATGGAACAGAGTAGGGAAGACTCTATTGCTGGTTAGAACAGGGGAGGGTCCTCCTAGTTCTGTCTTCTATCACCACCTTTTAAAATGGCTCTATTCTATCAGAACACAATTTCTAGTCTACTTCCAGGCCTTATTGCTGGCTAGAACTGTTGAGGGGTCCTCTGTCTTCTATCACCACTTTCTGAAACGGCCAGACTATTGGAGCATGATTTCTGGAACACTTACAGTTCTGTGTTGCAAATCAAATTGAAAAAATGTCCTGGAAGGGGACAGGGGGAGAAGTTGTCTAAAGTGGCCAATAGATACACAAAGAGCTCACCAACTAACTTGATCTGAAAAAGATGCATATAAATAAGCCAGTTTGATGAAATGCTGCCAACCTCTGGAACAGGGGTGGGATTCCCCACCCTTGCTCTAGACAGAGAGGTAAGAGACTCAAAATGCAGAACAGACACATTTTGGGGGTAACACGGACAACTGAGGAATTTCTTTTGCTTGACTCCACGTGTTCATAACGGGGGTTTTGTTTTTCTTGCTTTCTCAATATGGGGGAAGAAGAGAAAGTTGGGTGAGGGAAAATACAGACTTGAAAATTAAATTAAATTTAAAAAATACTATGATGAAATTTAAAGATACATTTATGATGAAATCTTGGTGAAATTAAAAATAAAAATAAAAAGACAGAAGATAGAAACCAGGATCAACAACAAAACCCTGTTCCTGGGAGAAGAGAGAGAAATCTCTGGATGAGTCGAGGCTGGTAAAGAACATTAAGGAAGACAAAGCTATGTTAGGGAAGAGAGGAGGGGCAAAGAAGTCATGGAATTGCTGGACCAAATTAACAAATATATGACAAGGCAGAGCAAATGATCTCATCATTTGCTTCTGTTTATCTCTGACAAGAAGAACAGTTTTTGGTTTATAGGGGACAGAATAAAAATGACTTATGGGGAGTTTGTGACTTGCAATGAGCAGGGCCACCAGCAGCAGAGGAACTGCACTCCTGAGCCCTGAAAGGACTGGCATTGGCCAGTGGCTGAGGTGGTCACTCTAAGGGATCTTTAAGAAGACCGTGGAGAACAAATGAGACATTACGGGACAAAAGGAGGGTAAACGTTGCCCTGATTTTCAAAGAAGGAAAGAGAGTGGGACCAGCAGACTCTATGCCAGTGAGTTTGGCTTTGACTCCTGGCAAGATTCTAGAACATGCTGTTAAAGGGGTGGCCAGTGGATATTTAGAAAGGGAAGCAGTGATCACAGCATTGAAATGGTCAGAAGGATTCTCAGGAGGCCACCCAGTCACAACCGTGTCTGAACAAGAATCTCCCTCCCTCTACAACAAACCTAATGAGTTCTCATCTAGCCTTTGCTCATAGACTTCCAGTGGGACAGAATCCACTACTGTCTGGGGCAGCCCATTTCCCCTGGGGACAGCTCTAATTCTTAGAAACAGCATGGCTTCATTAAAAATAGTCCAGGCCAGCTAACTTTTTTTTTTTTGGGTGAGGTCACTAGACTGGTAGGTCAAGGGAATGCCACATATAGAGTTTACCTAGATTTTAGCAAAGCATTCGGACATCTTTGATGCTATGTTTGTGTGGAGTGAGATGGGCTGGAACTTATAACATGACTAGGTAGATTTGGAACTGGCTGAATGACTAGACCCAAAGATTAGTCATTAACGGTTCAGTATCAGCTGGAAGAGGAGTGCCTAGCATACTGCCTCAGGTATCTGTTCTTGGCCTTGTGTTATTTATATTTTGATCAATGACTCGGATAAATATATGGATCGTGTGCTTATTAAATTGTAGATGCCACAAAGCTGGGAGAATAAGCAAAAGGACTGGATGAGAGCATCAGGGTCGCAAAAGAACTTGATAGACTAGAAATCTGGGGCCAATCTAATAATATGTAATTTAAAGTTTTTGACTTGGGTTCAAGAAAAAAAAATCTATCTTACATGCGCAAGGTGAGAGGGATATGGTTAGAGAGCAGTTCTTCTGAAAAGACTGGGGGGAGGGAGGAGAGGTTTAGTGGAAAGCCAGCTCCATATGAGTCAACAGTGTGATACGGCAGCCGAAGGAGGTATAAAAAGAAGTATGGTGTCGTGACCTAGAAAGAGAATGGTCTCATTGGATTCTGCCCTCAATACACCCTGTGAACTCAACTCAACCAACAATGATCGAGCACCTGTGACGTGTAAGAGCCAAGGCTAGGCACTGCAGACAGCAAGACAACAAGGAAGCAGGCCTGGCTGCAAGGAGCCTGCTTTTCTACTGGAAGGCTGTGCTCGGTTCTGGGGGCCATGCTTTGATAGCTGGAGAGCATTTGGAGGACAACCAGAACATCTAAGTTGGAGGAAACAGTGCTGTTTTAACTTGGAGAAGCTGGTGAGGCTATGGTGGCGGTTTACAGAAATCTCAAGGGCCATCATGCGGAAGACAGATTAGCTTTGTTCTGCTCGGCTCCAGAGGACAGAACACGGAGCAATGGGGCCAACGTGGGATGGAGAGTAGGAGAAACTTCCTGACAGGGCTATCCCAAAGCAGAACAGGTCTACTCTTGCTGGAGATCTTCACGCAAAGGCTAGATGACCCCCCCCCAATTCATCAATTATGAAGTAGAGGGCAATTATTGTGGTTTAAGGCTGGCCTCTGAGTCCCTACCAACTCTGGGATGCTAGATCCATATATACACACTCTCTAAATTTTTCTTTCACGCAGATTTTCCAAATCTCTTCCTTTCTTACAAACACACACCTTCTGAACCTCCCTTACCCATCCAGGAACCTCTCTGTCTTACATACACCCACTACAAATGCTTCTCACTCTCCATCAACACAACTGGACGCCCCCCTTCCCCCCGCCACCTTCGCCTTCAATAGCTCAATGATCCTGGGAGAGTCATTAACCTCTCAGTGCTTGGGGAAACTTGCTAAGGCTATATGTTGCACAGAAGGTGCCAACCCACACAGGGGGCAGTTTCCTCATCTGGGAGTCCCATAATCCTAGCCCATAACAATGACAATCACAAAGTGGTTTACATCTATTACCTCATTTGAATCTTCCTACAACCCTGTGAAATAGGAACTCCAGACATGACTGCTGCCATTTTGTACGTTTTAGAGAGGTGCTATGCCTTGCCGACGGTCACCTATAAGGAGGTCCTGATTCCCACCTCTCTCCTGATGCGTATTAAGTACCTTCTCTGCTTGGCACTGAAGGGGAGGCCAATTCCAGGGACAGCCTCTGCTCTTGGATCACAATTTGGAAGAGGAATAAGTCACTGGCATATATTCTAGTTAAAGAACATTATCTATCTATCTATCTATCTATCTATCTATCTATCTCATCCATCTATCCATTTATTTATTTTGCTTCCACATCACATTTTTAATTCATCCTTCTGTCTATCTGTCCATTTGTCCATCTATCTATCTATCTACAAACACATATATAGTATTATTCACATATGTGAGTAATTTGTTTTGGAAGGCAGCTTAGGTGGCACAGTGGATACAGTACAGGGTCTAGAGTCAGAATGATGCATCTCTGAGTTCAAATCTGGCCTCAGACACTTACTGGTTGAGTGACCCTGGGCAAGTCACTTAGCCCTGTTTGCCTCAGTTTCCTCATCTGTAAAATGAGCTGGAGAAGGAAATGGTGAACCACCATAGTATTTCTGCCAAGAAAATCCCAAATGGGTGATCCGACAACAGTAAACACATATATACATATATGTGTTTGAGTATGTGAATATATATATATATATATACACACGTATATAATTAGAATAACTAACTAGAATGTACAAATAATAAGTGTATCAGAGGAATGTAAAACAAGGCATTGTAGGAAGTCATGTTCTCTTGGAGCCTTCATTAAATCATTGCAAAATGAGGGAGCTGGCTGAGCTGATTTCTAAGGAGCCTTCCTTCTGGCCCTGAGACCCTATGATCTGAGGTCAATTCAATTCAGCCAATACTTCTCAAGCCTAAACCAGCCCAGACCTGAAGCCTTGGTATATTGTTCTCTCTCTCCCCCTTCTCATTCTTTCTCACCCTTTCTCTCATCCATCCTCATTCTCTCTCATTTAATCTTTCATTCTCACATTCCCTCTTCTTCTCCCCTTCCCCCTCTATCTCTCTTCCCCTCATACTCTCATTTTTATTCTTTTCTTCTCTCTCCAGCATTCTCTTCTCAGTCTGCATGGTTTTGCAGCTATGTATATAGTTCCAACCAGACCCAAAACATCTCACGGATTGTCTGAGTGGGAAGGGCTCTTTAAAACTCTCTCGCCTACCTACCTCCTTCATTTTGCAGATTAGGAAACTGAGGGCCAGGGGTGGCCTGGGATTTGAACCGAGGCAACTCAGCCAGGGGCCCTGACCCTAAGTCCACCGTTCTTCCCACTGCCCTATAGTGCTCTCAACCTCCCCAAGGGCAGGGATCAGGCTCTGTCCCCCACAGCGTGTCTCAGCCCAGAGCTTGATAAAGCAAGTGCTCAACAGATGTTGACAGAATGAATGAATCCCTGACAATGTCACACACATGGATCCTTTCTCTAAAGCATGTCTATCTCCTGACAGCCTCCACGTGCACCCTTGAGAATGCGCATGTTCCTTCGCTCATATGCAGAGACACAATCTGGAAGCAGAAGCCAAAGGTACCTTCTCATCTGTACACAGCCTCATGTTTATGGGGAGCAGAATGGAAAAGGCCCTGGGCTGGTGAACACACACCCTTGAATTGCCTCAGAGGTGCTGTCCAAGCCTAGGGCACCACCTCAGCCCCCTAACCCCCCTGCTCCTGTCTTCAGGGACTCTGGCTGGCCCTCTTCCAGCCTCTCGGCCTTCCCAGCTTCCAGGGAAATACTCAGATTTTACATGAGCTCAGACCACTAAGGTCAGAAGGACCCAAAGAGACCACTAGGCCAACCCTTCTATTTAACTACTGGGGAAACTCAGGCCCTGAAGGGAGAGATGATTCACCTGAGGTCTCCCAGTGGGTTAATGGTGCAGCTGGGATTAGAACTTCAGGGTTCCTGACTCCCAGCTCAGGGTTCTTGCTCCTACTCCAGACTACCTCCTGAGTTTTCTCTGTATGGACAAAGTCTGGTCTTTGGAGGAGAGACTTTGGTGGGCATTTCCCACCCAGCCCTGGACCCCTGGACTCCAGCAGCTTGAATGTGCACACATTCATACACCCTCTTGGATACACACACACACACACACGCACACACACACACACACACATACACACACCATGCCACGTACACACTCATTTAGGGACGTCTGAGTATTTCTGGAGCTGGCCTCAGCTCTCTCAGTTTGAGAATGCCTGGCTTATATCAAACAAGGAAGACAGGAATTGCATGAGATTAGAGGCAGGGAAGAGCACACAGAGCAGGGACTCCCCCCAGAGCCCAAAAGGGCCGGGCCTCCTTCTCCTCCTCCAGCCTCCTGATCACGTAACACCTCACATATCCCACCAGAGCAGCCCCTATCCTTTGGAACCTTTAAAAATATTAACTGGGAGGAAAAGCATCCTGGCAAAAAGAGCCTGGGGTTCAAATTAGGCAGCGAGGATCTAAGGGTGCTTACTGAGGGCCTACATCCCAATGTCTGGTTTTGCCTCTGGGGGAAATGGGGTCAAGCCAACACTAAGTTCACAAAGAAATGGACAGCGTCAGAGCTAGAATGGCCCTTGGATTAGAGCCTTCTGTTGGCAGATGCTGCAGTCCAGTGAGTGCAGGGCCTTCTTTCCCCCAGAACTCCCGTGTGTAGAAAATTTTCTAATTGCTGAAGCACTTTCCCACACAGCATCTCTGCTGCCCTGGGAATGAGGCAGGGGCTGGAAGCAGCATGAAGCCACAGGGCCATAGATCTGAGACATTCAAGGGGCTTTGGAGAGCATCTGGTCCACATGTTTTATTTTACAGATGAAGAGAGACTGAGGCCCAGACAAGGCAAGAGGCCTGTTTGAGGTCAGTGGGCTCAGCCAGGATTAGAACTCAGGTTTCCTGCCTCCTACTCCAGGGCCCTTCCTGCCTTCTGACCTGAGTGGATGACACGAGACATCGTGATGTTGTAGTAAGGGCATTGGGCTGGGAATCAAAAACCTTGGGCTTAGAGCCCAGCTTGGCCACTTGCTACCCAAGTGACCTCACTGCTCTAGTGCTCGGCTTCTCCAACTGTAACAAGATGGTAGAGGGTAGGGCGGGGAAGGTCTCAGTCTCTCCACCTGTAAAGCAATGGGGATGGGGGAAGGGAGGCATTGTACCAAATGATCTCAAAGCATCCTCCCAGTTTCAAATTCTGTGATCCTAAATTTCTGGTACTGGAGGATTTTGGAAACCCACGGCCCCGGGGCAGTGCCTTGAGTGGCCTCTCTGACTGATGTGGTCACATCACATCGTCCTGGCTTATAGCCATGAGAATGGAGCCCAGAGTTATCTAACTGAAATCTCCTGGTTAATGATAATAATCATAGCTGCTAGCATATATAAAGTACTTTAGGACTTGTAAAGAGTTTGACAAATATGATTTCATTTGATCCTCACAACAACCCTGGGGAGGGGCTACTATTATCATCTCCATTTTACAGAAGAGGAAACTGGGGCTGAGAGAGGTTAAGTGATTTGCCAACAGTCACCAGCTAAGTGTCTGAGGCAGCTTTTGAACTCGTGTCTTTCTGGCTCTATGTCCAGTGCTCTATCCACTGAGGAAAAAAAAAAGTGACATGCCCAAGGTCACACAGATAATAAATGGCAGGATCTGGATTTGAACCCAGACCCTGTGCATTCCACTGGCTTTCCCTTACAGTGAGTGCCACAGAGATGTTAACACACACTGCCTGCGATTGCTTTTTCAGCAGTCCTGGTATGGGGGTCTTGTCTCCTTGGGGAAATCCTTGGGGAAATTCCACCTGGAACAGAGTATTAAGAAACCTGCCTTCAGCTACTGGCTGGGATGGGTTGCATGACTCTGCCTAACCACAAGCCTCTGTCTTTCCACTCATAAAATGGGGGCAGCAATCCACGTACCAGCTACCTAGTACTAGCCAGCTAGTCTCAGTTTCTAGCTGCTGTGACAAAAGCACTTGGCAAAGCCTCAATTTCTACAATAATGTCCTTTCCCGGTTCCCCAGTGTCCCCTCCTCTAAAATGGGCAGCCCGCCCTCCTCCAGAGCTGTGGTGCACAGCTCCCTGCAAACTAGGGAGCATGAGGGAAGCAAAGATGTCATTGTCATCCTCCTGCTGTCTTCCCAGCACAGCATTAGGACTGTGACACCCTGAATCTTCCCATGTCAGAATGAGAAGGGACCTTGGAACACAGGATGTCAGAACTGGGAGGGACCTTAGAACACAGGATGTCAGTGCTGGGAGGGTCCTTAGAACATAGGATGTCAGTGCTGGGAGGGTCCTTAGAACACAGGATATTAATTTTGGGAGGGATCTTAGAACACAGAACAAAGACTGTCAGAGGTGAGAGGGTCCCTATAACAGAGAATATCAGAGCTAGGAGGGGTCTTAGAATGTGGAATGTTATGGCTGGAAGAGATCTTAGAAGACGGAATGTCAGGGGCTGGCAAGGACTTTAGAACACAGAACACAGATTGTCAGGGCTGGGAGGGCCCTTAGAATGGAGAATATTAAAGCTAGGAGAGACCTTAGGACAGAGAATGTCAGAGCTAGAAGGAACATTAGAACACAGGATGTCAGTGCTGGGAGGTGCCTTGAAACACAAAGTGTTAGGATTGGGAGGGACTTTAGAACATAGAACGTTAGAGCTGAGAGGGACCTTAGAGCACTGAATGCAGACTATGGGAGTGGGGAGAACCCTCAGAACAGAGAATGTCAGAGCTGAGAGGGGCCTTAGAACACGGAATGGTAGTGCTGGGAGGGCCCTTAGAACACAGAGTGTCAGAGCTGGGAGGTCCTTAGAACACAGAGTGTCAGAATTGGGAGAGACCTTGGAACACAGAACGGCAGTGCTGGGAGGGCTCTTAGAACATAAAATGTCAAGGCTGAGAGGGCCCTTAGAACCCATCTAGTCCAAGCACCTTTCCCATAGCTGGGAGAAGGCTGAGCTAGAGCTCAAACCTAGGTGTTCCCATTCCCAAGCCACTATTCTTCCCTCTCCCCCAACAGAGGTGGGGACACTGAAGCCCAGAGAGGAGAAGGGTCATGACCAAGCCACAGGCATGGGAAGAGACCAGGCTTCCTGACCCCAACTGAGCACCTGCCTCTCTTGACTCTTGAAAGGGAGATGACACACTGTCCTCTAAGCACTGGGAGTGCAGGCTGGGAGGAAGCCCTCCCATGGTGCTGCGGGTGGGGAGGGAGGGAGGGAGGCAGAACAGAAGGAGGAGGAGGAGGCGTGCAAGGAGGCGTGCAGAGGCCAGGGGCTCTGAGGGGACGAAGCATGGCACGGCACGGCACAGCACGGCACGGCACGGCACAGGAAGTGGGGATTGGGCATCAGGAGGAAGTGGTACTCACGTATTCAGCTGTATCATCTGTTTCCCACTGGGCAGAGAAGGAAAGAGGAGCGAAGGTGAGACCACAAGGAAGCAGGGCAGGCAGAGGGGAGAGGAGCAGAGGAAAGGGAGGGAGACAGACAGAGAACCCCAGGAAGAGACAGGGCAAAGGACAGAGAGAGAAAGAAGAGCATGGATGGGTGGGAGGAGGGAGGGGGGAGTCATAAGAAAGACGTGTCTATTCTAGCTAGAGGAGGTGAAGCGCCAGAGCCAGTGGAATAGAGAGAAGAGGAAGGAGGCAGTGTGGGTCTGGGGGCATCTCCCCGGTGTGTGTGAGGTGGCTCTGAGCCCTGGTCCTGTTCTAGCTTGTCCTGCCCGACCCTCCCTCCAGCCCCTCCCACTCCACGCTCACCAACCTGGGCATCAGCCAGCATGACGTCTTTGATCTGGGGCAGCCCCTTGGCCTCACCATTCTCCATGCGGACATAGTGGACCTGGTAGCCTCGGATCTGTCCGTGCTGCCGGCTGGGGACAGGTGAGCGCCACAGCACCCTGATGGCTGTGGAGTTCAGCACCTCTACCTCCACCTTCCGAGGGGGCGCACTGGGCACTAGAGGGACAGGGAGACAGGGGGAAGGAGGGAAGGGAGGGGAGGGGGGTGGGGTCCAGGGTTAACACCAGCCAGACCCCTGGCCACCATCTGCCAGCTTGGAGCCATGAACACCGTGGAGTTCACATGGCTCTGAAGGTGGGAAGGCTGGGTCTGGGTCCGGGGGCTCTGGACCCTGAACCTAGATAGCTAACCCTGCAGGGAAGGTGGCAGCACCACCCCACTGGAAAGCGGGAGTCAGAGCCGGCAGGCACCCTGGAGATCAGACACTGTCACTCCCTCATTTTGCATGGGAAGGGACGGAGGCTCTGTAGCCAAAGACACGGGGCTAAGTCAGCAGCATAACTAAGCGGTGGACGTGGGTCCTCTGACCCCAAACCATGCCTGGACCTGGGCTGGGAAGCCCAGCTGGCATCCGTCAAGGAAGCTCCTGACTGGGGAAGGAGAGGACAGAATCCAGACCACCGTATGAGACAGGCTCTGCCCCAGGGGGCATCTCTCAGAAGGTGCACCCAGTCCGTCACACAGTTAGGGTATCTCTGGGACACTCATGCCCAGGCTGGGCTGAATGCACTTCTCTGGGAAGCCTAGATTCTGACTGGTGTCTATCACACCCACAAGCTGACTTAACAGGCCTTGAGGGTCTCCCCCTGCTCCTGTTGACTCCGTGGCTCCCTCACTGCCTCCCTGAGGCTGTGAATGGGACCTGGAAGGGATAGGGGATCCCTCTCAGCTGTCCTTGTGTAGCCTCTCAGGGTGTTGGCACGGGACGAGGCTAACGCCAGGGATCTTCTGGAGGATCGAGAATGCTCAAGCCTCTTTGGACAGAACAGGCTCCTTCGCAGGGGAGAACAAACCAACCCCACTTCCCCTATGCCTGACCTCCTTGGTACCATCACCCTAGGGGGAAGGCAGGGCAGGTATGATTATGTGACAGACTGGGAAACTGAGGCCCAGAATGAGGACAGAAAAGGAGCTGCTTAGTCACGTAGAGACTGCTTACTCTTGATGTGGGGCTCTTCCCAGAATCCCAGAATAGTATGTGATTCTTTGAGGTATAACACAAAATATTATACAATTATATAAAAAGGACTAGTCCAACCCCCTCATTCCATGGAGGTGAAAAACGGGGCCTAGAGAAGGGACCTGGGGGCAGTGAGGTGGCGCAGTGCATAAAACAAATCTGGTCTCGAACCAAACATTTGACACTTACTAGCTGTGTGACCCCAGGAAAGTCACTTAACCCCGACTGCCTTAAAAAAAAGAGAGAAGGGACCAGGCTTGTTACTCAAATAGCTAGTGTTGTGCTAATTTGGACCATATTTTTAAATTTTTAAAAAAAAATAAAGGTGCGAGGATAGTGGAGACTAAGGAACAGAGGTGGAAGGCAACTAGCTTTGGGTCACTCTGCCAGTCTAGGACTTCAGAAACTGGTTGGGCCTTGGCCACACAGGGCCTTTCCACTCCCCAGTTACTTACATTCCTGCTTTCCCCTGTGGCAATGTGTGGGTACCTGCTGGGAGGAAGCCCCTGCCCCCAGCCCTGGTCACTGGACCCGGGCCTTGTGAGGGGGAGCAGGAGCTGGGGCCCCCCTCCCCCCCCGGCCCCCAGGGCCCTGGGGGATATTTACCATCTTCATCGGTGCGGATGATGATGGGCGAGCTCTCGGGCCCTGGTCCCACGGCCGTGTGGGCCACCGCGGTGATGCGGTACTCAGTCCACTTCTCCAGGGACTCCAGGAGGATCTGCGTGGTGCTGGGGGGGATCTGCTTCACCTCCCGGGGGTGCGGGTCCTCAGAGTCCAGGGCTCGGTAGCGCACACTGTAGCCCGCTAGGTCACCATTTTGGCTCTCGGCGGGCGGCGGGCGCCAACTTACCAGAATGGCCGTGGATCTGGTGCTGACGCATTTTACGTCTTGAGGGGGGGCAGACGGTTCTATTGAAGGGGGAGAATTGTGGGGGGGAAGGGCAGGGAGGGAAGGGAAGGGGGAAACAAAAGATGGGAAAGATAAAAAAAAAAAAGAAGATGATAACAAAACAAACAGAAATAAAACAAACCCAAAATGAAATAAAATATGTGTGGAAACAAACAAATAAACTCAGCTCTGAAATGAAAAGGCCAGATGCAGTGGAATGGCCCCTGGGTGGAGGGTCAGAAATGAGACCGGCCCTTGCCCAAGGAACCAAACCGAAATCTGGCAGACAACACGGGGGATGCTAGCCAAGAGTTTTGTCTCCCTCTGGAGGAAGGCCTCTGAGCTGGACTGCAAGGACCTGGGAAAGGCAGAATAGACAGAGCCTTCCTCTGAAGGACTGGAGAAATAGTGGCCCAAAGTGGGGATAAAAGGGAGATGTCTCTGAGTCGGTGAAAAAAGACTCCTACAGTCTTCCACCTTAGAATTGGAGCCTTCAGGGGGAACTGATTGGAAGGAGATGCTGAGACCCTCACAGGTAGGAAGATACCCAGAACCCTTCTCTAGCCTCATCTGGAGTGAGAGACCTGGGCACCATTCCCAGTCTCACCTGAAGAGAGACATCTATAACTTCTTTTGCTCTCACATGGAATGAAATTCCTAGAACCCTTCCAACTCCTCACATGAAGTGAGAAACCTAGAATTCTTCAGTTTTGTCTGGACCAAGATATCCAGCTATGCATCTTCTCTGGCCTTCCCCAGAACAAGGAACCTAGAACCCACTCTCAAGTTTCACATATAGTGAAATACCTAGAACTTCCCCATACCTAACATAGAAGGCATTTTGGCTTTCTCAGCCTTGCCTGGAACAAGGTACCTAGAACCAGCATTCCTTGGTAAAAGGCACCCCAAACTCTTCTTGAATTTTATCTGGAGGAAGGCATTTAGAATGACATACCTAGAACCTTTCTTCAATCTGAGGAGCTGAGTGATATACCTGAAACCTCTAACCTCAGAATCACCTTAAGAATGTTACTTAGAAAGCTCCTCTAGCCTCAACTAGAGTGAGATACTTAGAATCATTTTCTAGCTTCAGAATTTGCTAGCTTTCTAGAATTATTTATTTAGTTTTGTCTAGAATAACATACCCTAAACCCTTTCTCTGCCTTGACTGAAGGCTCAGACTTTGAAAAAAATAAGATACCTAAATTTCTCCTAGCTTCCCCTAGAGCAATATGCCTAGACTCTTTTTCCAGACTCACTTAGAATGAGTCAGCTAATACCCCTCCCCAGCCTTGCTTGGAATAAGTCACTTAAAACCCTTCTTTATGTTTGTCTAGATCAAGGATCTAGAACCCTTCTCCAACCTTGCTTGAAATTACTTAGTAAAAATCCCTGCTTTATCAGGAGGGAGATGCCTAGATTTCTTCTATAGTTTTGCCTGGAATGGGATACCTAGAAGTCCTTCCCAGTCTTCCCTATTTTGAGGCAGCTAGAATCTTTTCCTAGCCTCACGTGAAACACACTTAGAAACCTTTGTCAACCTCATATGAAGTGACACATTTATTAAGCAGCACCCATAGGGAGACTTAGAAACCTTCCCCAGACTTGAGCAAAGTGAGTACCTCGAACCTCTTTCCAGATTTTCCTAGAGCAAGAAACCTAGACTGCTTTCCCTGTCTCCCTTGAAGCAAGACATTGCCTGTAATTTTAGCTTTGCTTGAAGCAAGATACCTAGAACCACGCCTCAGTCTTGCCTGAAGTAAGACATTTAGAACCTTATTCCATCTTGCCTGGAAGGACATGTTTAGAAGCAGAGGGTTTTTTTTTTACCCAGACTTGCCCCAAATAGGAAGTCTGGAACTCCTCCTCCATCTCCCCAAACTCCTGGCTAGTAATCCCAACCAAAAGCAACCAAAAAAAACTTAAAAACAAATCCAAGGAACTGTGGCCGATGGAAACAAACCAAAGTGTTTGAGGAAATGAAGGATTGAGCTAAAAAGAGGAAAAAAAAACACCAAACCATAACAAAACAGACAATGGCAATAATAATAATAATAATCATAATTGTAATAAAGAAAGAAAGACGGACAGAGAGAACGAGCGCCTTCCAGAAAACTCCCAGCCTGGGTACGTACCTTCCACTCTTCAACTGCTAATTTATAAAGACTTTCTTACGAGGGAAGGACAGAAACTGAGCTAGGAGGCCAGACCGAGCTCGTGATGGGTCTCCGGAGGCTGGACGGCGCTAGGCAGAGCCCTGCATTGTGAAACCCAGAGACAAGTGTGCGAAGGCTTCTCTGGGAAGGGCTCAATATGGGGACATAGGCCGTGGGATTCGAATTGCTCTGCTTGGCCCTGGAGGGCAGAATTAGGAGCAATGAGGGGGAAGTGAGAGAGGCAGACTCTGCCTGGGTGTCTGTCTACACCGGAAAAAGATAACTTTCTTTTTTTTTTTAGGCAATTAGGGTTAAGTGACTTGCCCAGGGTCACCCAGCTAGTAAGTGTCAAGTGTTTGGTCTGAGGCCAGATTTGAACTCAGGTCCTCCTGACGTCAGGGCCGGTGCTCTATCCACTGCGCCACCTCGCTGCCCCCTAAGAAAACTTTCTAATGATGAAAACTTGCCGAAGTGAAATGAGCTGCTTTGGCAGCTGATAGTGAGCTCCCCATCATTAGGAGTATCTGGACAGGAGCCGGCTGATCCACTCAGGAATCACTGGTAGAGAGGAGGTCCCTTGGAGTGCTGAGATCTCGCGATTCTGTTGGGGAGTGCTGGGTGGAGGCGAGGGCTTGGGCTCTGCAGTTCCCCTCCCCATTATCTGTCCACCACTTTGGTCACAGGACTCAGTGTTAGGAGAGGGCTTAGGGACCATCTGTTTTACACTCTTCTACTTGACAAAGGGGAGCAGGTGAAGCCCAGAGAGAGGAAGGGGCCTGCCAGAGGTCACAAGCACCTAGCTTTCTGGCTCCAGGGGCATCGAAGTGCATTTACTAGGGTAGAGGAGAACAAGTCATCCCGAGCCTCCCGTGTCCGGTGAAGGGCTGTGTTTGTTGTTTTCAGAAACCCACTGCAGAGAAGGTCTGGCCTCAACCTACCCTTGCCATCCGGGCCTAAGGGGCTGAGCCCCACTGTGTCATGCCTGGCCTTCCTGTCCTCAGACTCACTGTGCCCGTTCCTTGGACCCACTCACTCACCCGCTCTGATCCAGGAGGGCCGAGCCTCATCCCCCAACCCAGAGAGCAGGCCCTTCTGCTCAGGGCCCGGCCTCCTCCTGATAATCACAGGGGGTGGGGGGGCAGTGGGGGGCGGTGAGGCAGGGGTGGGACTGGAGGAGGGAGGGGAAGGAGAAACAGACAATCTTCCTCCCTTCCTGCTGTGCCCCACAGGCCAGAGGCCCCACAGGATAGAACGCTAGCTGCTCAGAAATGGACCCCGAGTGCCAAGCAGGCTGAAGCTACTTCCTGGGGGGAGCTCAGGGCATTGCCAGTTTCCTTCACAACCCAGCCCAACCTGCGTGACTGCTGTGGAATGGGCCTACCAGGGCTTGGTGGTCAGCACCTTGACATAGACAAACCACGTCTGCATGTCACAGGACTTCAGAGTTGGCAGGGAACATCTAGCATAGCTCCCCTCATTTTACAGATGGGGAAACTGAGGCTCACAGAGAGAAGAAGGGGCTTGCTCAAGGTCACAGAGTCAGAGATTTGGCAAAGGAACTTAGGATACTACCTGAGATTTGAGAAGGGAACTTAAGAGGCCACCTTATACAGTTCCCCTCATTTTATGGATGGGGAAACTGAGGCTCAGAAAGGAAGGGGCCTGCTCAAAATGGTAGGGTCACAGATTTGGCTGTCTAGGACAGCCCCTTTATTTTATATAGAGGAAGAAATCGAGACTAGATAGGAGAAGTGACTTGCTCAGGGTCACACAGGCAATAAGGAGCAAAGGCTAGATTTGAATCCAGATCTTCTCACTGTCAAAGTGGGGGACCTGGGGATAGGACACAGGTATCTGGGCCTGCTGGTCTGGTGTACATTCTTCTGCCCCTACTGTCATCCCTACAGAGGAGAGTCATTTGGGGTGGGGTCCCAGAAGCAGCACTCAGGGAAGAGCACATCTGTGGACTGAAATTACCACTCCAAGACCTGCCACACTCCCGGGATGGGAGAGTGGGGGCGGGGGGGGCACGCAGGGTGAGCTGTATTTGTGAATCTGCTTGAGCCCAGCCCGTACTCACCTGAAATGCATCTTTTACAGGTTCAAAGTTGACTGCCCAAGCCACAAGGATGGCCCTTACTGACCTCGGACGGAACCACGTTTTTAAACCTTTAAGTACCATAGACTCGGCGCATCCTATGAGGCTCCAGGAATCGGCTGGGGGAGAAGGGGGAAGGGGGAGGAGACAGGGGAGGAGAGGGAAGGAAACCCCATCTCGGGGCCGCAGTGCTGGAGAATAAGCCTGGAGTGTCCCAGGCCACCGGGCGCTGGCGGGCTCCAACTCCTCTGGGCTCCCGTGAGCCGGGCACCGTCGGAGCCCTCACTGCTTCCCTGGCCTTCCCCTGCATTGACTCAGCCCAGCATGGCTCTGGTTAGTGGTAATGCCCCCGGCACCGAGGGCGGGGACAGAGGCAGGAGAGGTCGGCGCTGATCACTAGAGGTCTGTCTCTGGTACTTGAAGGGTTTAAAAATCCCAGAAAGATAGGAGATACTTTACCTTTAGTTTAATGGATTTAACGGAAGGAAAGGGTGCCGGGGGTAGAATTGCACATCGGAGGGATGGCAGGGAAAGAAGGGAGGCAGGGAGAGGAAGGCTTAGGAAGGACAGCCACAGCCTCCCCTCTGCCAGACTGGGGTATAAGGAGGTGAACGAGGGGGATGAGAGCAGAGGGGGGATGAGAGAATGGACTTTGTGGGGTGGGAGGAGCAGAAAGCAAGTGTGAGCTGGTGGTACAGAGCATACCGAGGGATGGTGGGCAGATGGCCGGATGATGGAGAGGAGGAGGGGGCTAGGAGACTGGCTGATAATGATAATAGTAATAAAAACAATGATGACAGCTCGCATTTGTACAGTGCTTTGTGCTGGAAAAGCACTTTATAAGCATTATCTCATTTGGATCTCATAACAGCCCTGGAAGGTGGGTGCTTTTATTATCCTCTTTTTTGGATGATGACACTGAAGCTAAGTGACTTGGCCAAGTCCACACGACTAGGAATCACCTAAGCCTGGATCTGAACTTGGGACTTATCCCTCCCAGGTTCGGCACCAACTAGCCAACCAAGAAGTCAGGAGAGACGGCTGCAGAACCAGGAATGGCCGGGCCTTCCTACGTGGTGGTGGCGCTCCAATGAATCTACTCCTGAAGTCCCCAGAACCAGACGCCCCAGAGACTCTTCCTCCCAATCCCCAGTTTTACAGGGGTGGCATCAGCCTCTCCCTGGCTCTTGGGGCTGCGCAGTCTCTGCCCTGGCCCCACTGATCCTGAGACTGACCCCTGCCAGGGCAGGATCAGAGGACGTGGAGGCAAAGTGGCCTCTGGCACCTTTGTGGCGAACCCCTTCATGTTACAAGGGAGGAAACAGGGGCCGCCCCATAGGTGTGGCGGGCAAATGTGAGAAGATGGGTCATCTGAGTCCAAATCGAGAGCTCTCGCTGCTGACCCGGGCTGCCTTAAATTATAGAATCTTTTATATGTGGAGAGAAGATGGAAGAGCGATCCAAAGTGGATTCCAGGTGGGATCTGAACGCACGTCTTTGGATGCCAAGTTCTTTGCTCTTCCTTCCGCCTCTTTTTAATTTATTTTTCAATACTAAGTATTTATTTTCTCTATTTCCTGACTCCCCTCCCTACCCACCCTTTAGATTAACCATACCAGCCCCCTGAAGGGTCTTACAGAGTTCTAAGATGCTGGTCTCTCCCTTTCTAAGCTACCTTAGATTGTGTGTGTGTGTGTGTGTGTGTGTGTGCACATGCACCCCCATGTTGTGTCTTCTCTACTGTAAGCTCCTTGAGAACAGGGACCGTTTCATCTGTGTGCTTGAATTTCCTAGGACAGCGTGCTGTGTGAACCAGGGCTAATCATCCGTAAAATGGAAATACTTAGAGTACCACCTCTCAGGGTGCTGTGAGGATCCACTGAAACATTACACATGTACAATGTTTTGCAAACCTTACGGCACTTGATAAATGCGGCTCTAATAATGATAATGCCTGGAACACAGTTGGTGCTTAATAAATGCTTGCTGACTGATTGGCGGGTGGTCCTGCCTGGTGGTTGTCCCCCTACCCAACAGTGGGGTAATGGGTTCCCAGTGGAGAGAAGAAGTGTGGCAAGGGCTGCCTATCTGTGCCCTGGGCTAGTTCTTGACCACAGACAGCCCAGGGCCCAAGACATGACCCGGTGGTATGAGAGGAGATGGGTGAAAGAGGGAAACACATGTAATCAGCTGGCTGGCAGCCACGTGTGCAGTAAGGCTGCCCTCGGTATGGGATGGTGGTGTTGGCCCACAATCCATTAAACTAAATAGCTGGCTGTCTCTACAGGAATCTGGGGGGGGGGCATGGGCACCCCCCCCCCCGACCCTAGGTGACACCAGCTCTGGCTGGAGCCCAAGGTTACACAGCTGCTAACAAGCAATGGCAGGTCAGAGACTTCAAATCCAGGGATCCCTCCACTACCCTGGGCTGCCTCAGTTTCTTAAATCCCTTAGTGGCGACAGGAGAACCAGGGGCCAGAAATGGGCTCTGGCCCAGCCCTCCCCTGGCTCAGTGCTAGAGGGCTTCGCTCCACATTGGTCCCACCCTCCTTTGGGGCACACCTCAGAGTCACGGAACTAGAGGGGATTCCGGAGACCTTTTTCCCACACTCCCCTTCACCTTCTCCTGTTTTGCAGATGGGAAAAATAAAGCCGAAAAGAAAAGGGACTTGCTAAGGTTATGCTGCAAGCTGATGGCAAAGGAGAGGACAGACCTAGGTGTACTGATTCCCATGCCAAATGTCTGCCTGAGATCGTCTGCTATGCTCCAACTAAGGTAGGGGCTGAGAGGGTAGGGGAGGAGTTCTCTGAGTGGCCCCCAGCCCCTGGTGCCCCAGGTGGACTCTGACGTGACACCCTCCCTCCAGTCTGCTCTGTCAGCTGCCCTCTAGCCCTGACGACTGGTCCTTTCTTCCTCCTCTCCCCGTGAGGTTGGGTCCATTCCACAGGCCCGAAGCTCTCTGGGATGGGCGGGTGGAGTGGGACTGGGAGGGGGGGGCCCTGCCTGGCTCCCCTCCCTTACAGTAGGGCCGGGACAGGAGAGACACCTACTAGACTGGAGAGTGCGCTGCCTGACCTCCGAGGTGAAGGCCCCCAGGCCTTGTGCGGAGCGGGCTGCCAGGCGGAAGGTGTATTCCGTGTTAGGCTTCAGGTCTTCCACCACGAACCAGGTTGTGGGGCCGAAGTTTTTCCCTACCTAGGATTGCAGAGGGCATGGAGAGATAAGGGGAGGAGGAGGATGGGGGAGTGGGGAGGGAGAAAGAAAGGGGGAGATGGAGAGGGAGGAGGGAGATAGGGAGAGAGGGAAGAATAAGGAAGGGAAAAACAGGGAGAAAGGAGAGGGATAAAGAGGGCAAAGAAGAGATAGGGAGAGAAAAAAGGAGAGGACAGGGATGGAGAAGGAGAAAGGAAGTGGGGAAAGGAAAAGAGGAGGAAGAGGGGGAGAGAGAGGTAAAGAAGGAGAGAAGGGAGGGACAGGGGGAAAGAAGGGGGAGGGAGGAGAGAGAGAGAGAATGAGAAAGAAAGAGGAAGGAAGGAGAGAGAGAATGAGAAAGAACAAGAGAGAATGAGAGTGAAAAGAGACAGAGAGCCCGGAGATAGGGTTGGCTTTGCTGAGGCAGTGACACCCTCATGGCCTGACCTGGCCCTGGCAGCAGGCTGAGCGGACCCTCCACTGTACCCCCACTTTTCCCACCCTTCCCACCCCAATCCGACATTCTCCAGGGGGGTATACCTCTTTGCCATGGTCTCCTTCCCGGTAGAGTAGCTCATACATCACTATACTCTCCTGCCGAGGGGCACTCCAGGTCAGGCTGATGCTGGTCTCGGACTTAGCTTCTGCCCGGAAGTTCATGGGCTGTCCAGGTACTGGCAAGCCAGGGATGACCAGAAGTTAAGGGAGATGAGAAAAGAGACAGGAATGGATGGAGAGGCTCCCACCCCAAGCTGCCCCACAGGATCACAGTATTATGGACAGAAAAGAGGCCTTAGCAGACATCTCTAGGTTGACCCTCTCATGTTACAGAGGGGAAAACGGAGTCCCAGAGAGGAGAGGGTTCTTGCCCAAGATTGCACAGCTCTTCGGTTTTGGGATCTGAGCCTAGGTCCAGGGCTTGGACACAGACCATCCCATTTCCAGACCCAACTCTGGGGATGATGGTGGGGAGGGATCATTCCTCCAGCTGATGACTTACCTCCTTGCTGTGTTTTGACCTGGATGGGGTCTGAGAGGGGTCCGTCACCCACAGAGGTAAAGGCCAGGACACGGACAGTGTAGGTCTCATCTTCTAACAGACTGCCCACGGTCGTCAGGAGACTGTCATCCACGTTGTGTTTCTGCCAATTCCCAACGGGGTGGTCGGGCTCCATGGTGTAGTAAACACGGTAGCCACGAATCAGGCCGTTGGGTTCCACCGGCTCTTCCCACTGGATGATCATGGTGGTGGCACTGAGCATACGGCCCTGCACATTTCGGGGGGCACTGGCTGGGGCCTGCTCCCCAGTCCGGGTCACTACCGACTCGCTGGGAGGGCCCTGCCCTATGGTGTTGACAGCCGACACCCAAATCTCGTACTCCGAGTTGGGGCTGAGGCCTCCGATGCTGTAGCGTGTGGTGGTGATGTCCTCTTTGATCTGATAAGGGCCATCTTGGCTCTTGGACTTGTACTCGATGACATAATAGGACACGGGGTCGGGGTTGCCTGAGTCCCATGTGATGGTGATGCTGGTGGCGGTATTCTCTGTCACTACTGGGGTTCCAGGGGCCTTGGGGAGGGCTGGGGAGCAGGAGAGATCAGTCAGTCGACCAACAGCCATCTATGACGCACCTACTCTGTACAAAGCACTCTAAATACAAACCAAGGGAACACGGCAAAGAAGAGAGAGACCTGATGATGCTGCTCTCCTGCTCAACACACTTCAATGGCTCCCAGCTGCCTCCTTCTCTCAACAGCTGAGGGGTACTCCCCTCCTCTGCCACTTGGCACCAACCTCTCTTTCAGGCCTGAACTGCCCTCCCTCATCATCTCTCCCGGGGCAATCCTTCTCTTCCTTCCAGGCTCAGGTACACCTCACCCCTCACCCCCCAGCCCCTCACACACTTCCCGCCTTTCTAAGAGGCCTTCTCTGATCCCCTCACCCCTCACTTGAGACCTTACATGGCCCTTTGTTTCACACGTCTCTGAGATCATACGTTACAGGGGAAGAAGCATTAATGTTGGCACCCTTGGCCCCAAATGACTGTAAGCCTAATGAGAGCAGTGACCAGGTCTTATTTAAACCTTGCGGCTACTTCAGCACCAAGTACAGTGCTCTGTACCCAGTAGGTGCTTAACACACATTTAATAAATTGAAATGGATTCTGATGGCTCTCTATGCTGGCCCAGAGAGCTGTCAGAAGCTGGTGGGTAGGGGACAGGGGAGTTTAGGTCACTTAAACCTTAGGTCAAGCTTGCTGAGGAATAGTTTCAAGGTCCCAAAGAGGGAGTGGCCCTTCTTTGGTGTTTCAAATGAATCTTATGATTGAGATTTTATCGTGACTATTTTTCATATGTGGAAACTTAGGCTGAAGGAGGAATGGCTTGTCTGAGGTCACAGAGCAGATCAGTGGCAAGGACAGAACCAGCGGGCCATTGCCAGGGGCAATTCTGATGTGGTGGAGGGCCCCTGGTGGCCACTTACACTTCACTGTGATCTGTGCCACAGCCTCGATGACGCCCAAGCTGGACATGGCCACGCACGTGTAGTTGGCTGAATCTTTGACATCGGTGAGCTCCAGGACATTCCGCCCCACAGGCATGTCATCCTCAGGGGTCAGGTCCTCGGCCCCCTGCATCCACTTGACATAGGGCATGGGGGAGCCCACGGCCACACAGGTGATGTTGACGTTGCCTCCGGGCATGATCTCGTGGCTGACGGGCAGGATGGAGAAACGGGGGGCCACCCGGCGTACTGGGGATCGGGGGGAGTGGGGCCAGATGCACAAGGGGAGGAAACAGGAAAACAAAACAAAAAAAAGAACAGAAAAGAAAAGAAAGAAAGAAAGAAAGAAGGAAAGAAAAAAAGAAAAACAGGGGAAAACGATTTCAATACAAAATGGGCTCTTTCCTCCCCCCCTTGAGTTTTTTAAAAAACGAAACAAAAAAAATTAAAAGAACAAAAAATTAAACACAAAGAAATAATAATATCAAAATAATATACTTCACAAACAATATATATATATATATATCATAGACACAAAGCGATATTTCATAGCAACAGGGCTCCATTGATCAAGGGTAGACCCATCACAGCACAGATAGTGACACAAAAATTTATCAGTCATTTCTCATCTTTACTGACAGATCCGGCTTCCCTCACCCTAAACAGACAGCTCTTCCTAGGGTCCGGGGTGGGGGTGGTAGTAATTCTCTACTCCTGACTTAGGCTATGCAATTATCTAGTCCTGGCGTGCACCTCCAGAGAGGCTGGGGAGGCCTGGAGAACTTGTGGCCTAAGGGGTGTGTGTGTGTCACATATGTGTGTGTGTGTGCGCGTGCGCACGCACATGCTCTCTTGTGCACAGTGGGGGAAGGTTCAGTGTCCCAGCCCCTAGGAACTAAGGGTTTCCTGGTCAAGGTGAGGAGGGTGTGCAGGCAGGAATCTTAAGGTTTCATGTTTGCTCTCTGAAAGTTGAGGGTGAATGAAAAGACTGGCCATGGGGATGTCAGTACCATCTGGTTATCTTGTCAGTGGGGAGAGGCGATGGTGTCTTCAGGGAGATTGCCTTGACCCTTCCCCCCAACCTTACCCGGGGACCGAGAGGAAAAGATGAGAAACTCTAATGAAATTTTTGTGGTTTTCGGGTATAGAAACCCTAACAAAGCCTCTTGAAGATCTGACAAGGTTCCATCGATAGATGCAGCTTTCAGAGTCACAAACATCATGCAAAATAGGTCAAGAGAGAAAGAGACAGAGACAGAGACAGAGACATAGGGAGGGGCAGAGAGACAGAGAGAAACAGACAGAGAGAGAGGAGGGGAGAGAGATAAAAATGCAGAGGAAGATATCTGGGGGGCCACTAGCATATGCCCAGGTGGGTACTAGAGACGGAAAAGACAGACAGAGAAAGAGAGAGCAGGAAAGAGGAGAAGAAGAGAGAAGGGGAGGGGAGGGGAAACCCACTTCAATGCTGCATACTCTTATTCTAGCTGATGTGAGACAATGTGGCATGTCACATTGTCACATCATAGCCCTGGCGGAATAATAAATAGAATAATTAATAATAATAATAATAAAGAGAAGGATAATCATAATCATAAACAAGGGTGATGGACTTTGGACGTTGAGAAGACAGTGACATGTTCTGTGCATCTCCTTAGCTGAGAAGTGGATGCAGCCTTCGGACCTTACCCAGTAGAACATGAAGGCGGAGGGTGGGTTTCGGGGCCTCTATTTTCTGAAGGCGGCAGCCCCTTCCTTTGGGCATCCTGATGGAGAGGCCTACCCTCTGCCCAATACCCCAGAGGGACTTTTTTGGTGAGAGGTAAAGGATCATGGGATTTCCATTTAGAGAGGGAAGGCATCTTAGAGATAGACCATCTAGTCCAACTCCCACAATTTATAGATGGGGAAGCACAGGCCCAGAGAGAGGCACAGGTTTGCTCCAGGTCACACAGCAGCACTGGGATTCAAGCCCAGGACTTCTGACCCCAACTGCCATACTCTTTTCCACTCTGTCAGGTTGGTACAACTCCTCCTGGGAACCCAGGAGCTGTAAAAATCTTTTTCTCCCAGAACGAGGCTTAAGGTGCAGCACAGAAGAGCCAGGGTAAATTTTCTGGAAGAACCTTTGTCCTCTGGGGAGACTGGCTAAGTAGGCAGTCAAGGAAGAATGCCATCCCTAGAGCCAGCAGCATGGCAGAGTAAGGACAGTTCAGTCGGGAGGCGCGGGTTTGAGTCCTGGTTCTAACATACACTAGCCATATGGTGACCACGGCCAAATTATCTTACTTCTCCAAGCCTTAAGTCTCCTTATCCATAAAATGGGAATAGTGAAGCTTGGCCCACCTCCACTCTAAGGTCCATCAATATCGCAAGAGCTAGAGGAAGCATCACAGACACCCCCCTTCCCCTACCACTTTTGTCCCCATCCAAGCCCATACTCAGCCAGCTAAGGTCTTAGCATCGCCATTTTATACATGTGTTTACCAAAGCCCAGAGAACTCAGGCGGCTTGCCCAAAGGTACTCAGCAAGTCAGTGGCAGAGCCAAGGCTGGGATCCAGGGCTCCGCATTTCCAGGCCAACGGTCCTGTTGCTCTTCCAGTATTTACATCCTGGGTATGGGCTGGAAGGTAATGCCACCCAAAAGCAGGGGGGTGGACGAGATGGTCCCCACATCTTGGCAAAGAAGGGGCAGGTGAGGGGCCTTTGGCTTGGCTTCTACTGGAGTTAATGTCAAAGGCTCGTGGACTGAAGAGTATGAGGTTGGGGGGGATAAATTTGGGGAGTTCAGGGAGTACACTACCCCCCCCCTCCTCTCTGGCTCCAGGGAGGGGACGGTCATGGGTCACAAGAGCTCTTGGCTGAGCAGCTGGGGCCTGAGGGTCTGGTTTTCAAGCTCTGGAGCCTCTACTGGCCTCATCCTTTAAAGAGGAGGAATGGAAAAGGGGCCATAGCTGCTGGGAGCACAATAAAGAGATGGGAGTCTTGGGGTTCCAAGCGGTCAAAAGTCCCTGCGGGAAGGAGAGGAGGAGGCCCAGGAAGCCCTGCTGGGCAGGAAGCTGCCAGCATTTCAGAAAACAGAGTCTCACGAAAGCCCTGAGAGTCACACCGGAGACAAGATGGAGAGAAAGTTTAAATGGAACCCAAGAGAAGGGCATGCAGATGGAGTGGAGGTGTCGGGGGCAGGATGAGTCTTTCAGGGGGTAGTGAAGAGGTGGGGCAGGATGCGGTGCGGAAAGGAGATATGTAACTTTCTGAAGGAGAGCCGGGGGCCATGGAGGACAGAAATGAAGGGAACGCCACTGGACGGAATCCAGTCGGCACAGGGCATCCACAGCAACGTACAAACACCAGCAGGTGGGATGCGAACGCTGAGTTGTCATGGAAACAGACACGACAGGAAATTCAAACTGAGGATTAATTAATCAAAGACAAAAAACAGAACTGACTAAAAAAAAAAAAACTAAGAGAAAGCATATCAGATGGGTGTGTGGGTGCTGAAAATCGGGGTCTGAAAGGAAAAGGGCTACTATTTCCCTGGGGAGGGGGCCCCCCTGGCAGAACACAAACCTAGGCCCCGGGCTGGCCCTGGGCCCGCCACCTCCAGGGACGAGGAAGGCCTAGAATGACAGGCTAGCAGGGACCAATTTTCTTGGGCTTCCTTCCGGGACCCCAGCAAGCATTCTTTTCCATCCGTGACTCTAGGATTGGAGAGGCCAGGCAAAAGTAGTAGGGGCTGCCTCTGGGAGAGAGACCCCCTGCTGAATGAGAAGAGGCAATTAAGATTGGGGAATTTGAAAGCTGTGCCTTTCAAGCCGGCCTCAGGGATTGGGGCCATAGTGCATAGGACAGGAGGGATCTTTCTGGAGAAAAAACTAGGCAAACCAGCCCAGGCCTCAGAGTATTCCCCAACCCCTACCCAGAGCCTCTCCATTAAAACCCTCTGTGCAGGGAGCTCTGTTACCCACAACTGGTCCTTACTCTGCCCTTAAGGAGGAAGGTAGTACAGGGATACTAGGAATTAGAGCCAGAAGGAAGGGACCCTAGAGATCACTTCATATACTCCTCTAATTTTACAGATGGGGAAACTGAGGCTCAGAAAATGGAAGTGACTTTCCTAAAGGTCACAGCGAATGGCAAAGCCAGGATTGGAGCGCAGGTCCTCCTAAATCCAAATGTTTTCTGTTATGACCCCGGCTGTGGGTTTGAACGGTGTGGAAGATGTAGGAAGAGCACCAAATCAAGTAAGGTGCAATTCACTGTTATCCTTGGGGAGGCGGAAGGCCATGGAATGGGCCAGTGGTCAAAAATAAAGGGCCCCCAGCAACTGGAATCCAGCCAGTCCTGGGCCAGGATCCTTTGACCACACTCTGGATGAGGCGACCGCGATGTGGGAGCTACAATGAAAACGGATGGAGGGGCCTGAGAGGTGGCTAGGAGGGTGGCTGCATGTGCTAGCAGACGGCTCCTCCCCATGGCAAAGGGTGGGTCCCATTCCGGGCCAGGTTCAGAAAGTAGAGCAATGCCTGAGTGCAAACGGGGTGGTCCCACGGCTCTTGGGGAGCCCTGTAACTGTGCCTTGGTGGAAGTGTCTGTTCTCAATCGGACGGCTAGCTTATAGAGTGGTTCTCATCAGCACGTCCAAATGATCCCACTTAGCCAAAGGGTCATAAAGCTAACAAGGAATAGCTGGCATCTGAACCCAGATCTGCTGGTTTCAAATCTAGGTCTCTTCCCTCCATACCAGACCATATGGCATATCTGAGTTGAAAGGATCCCTCAAAACAAAGGTTCTTAACCTGGGGTCCATGAACCCTGGTTTCAGGTAGTCTAAGGGTTTTTTTTTTAAACTTGCTAACTATATTTTGAAATAATTGGTTTCCTTTTTTATCCCATGTATTTAAAAACATTCTCTTGAGAAGGGGACCCCAGGTATTTCTAGGCTGACCGCCAAAGGGATCCAGGACACAAAAAGGGTTAAGACTCCCTGACTCAGAACGGAGAAGACAAGAATTGAGACCACTTAGTCCACCCGCCCCAAAGGTTGCTGATAGATGAAGAAGATGAGGCAGAGGGAGTGGTGAGCAACTGGGCTGATATTTGAACCTAGGCCCTGGGACTCCAGCTGGAGGGCTGACCCACTCTGCCATGCGAGCATGGCTCATCTCTTTTTGCCTGATGGACTCTACTCAGCTTTCTCTCCAGATGCATTTCATTGTATCTTAAGCCACACTTAAAAGTCCAGAAA